CCCCAAAACCCCAAAACCCCAAAACCCCAAAACCCCAAAACCCCAAAACCCCAAAAAACATTTCCAAAGTTGAAATATCAATTGATAAAACAATAGAGTCATGGAGACGACACCATCAGCCGATTGGCACCAGCAAGACTCAGAGAGCAACACTCTTATACCAGGGGAGATCAGGAATAGCCTAATAACCCGTATCGCCCAACTCTACATTGAAGCTCAGACAAGGATTTCCCGCTTGTTCAGGCGCTACAAATTAAGAAAAGACCGGAGGAAAAATATGTATATAGTAGATATTTATTTTGCTGAAAATGTCGGCAACCATGATGAAGTCTTCATAATTGGTAACTTTACCACGACTACCCTGAAGAATAAGATAAGGATGACATACTCTTACTTCCACCAAGCTTTCAAAGTGACTGTCCCAGTTCAGGATACAGTCAAATTTTGATTCATGGTGAACGGAGCTATTAAAGCATCTAATTACTATGAAAAAGTTAAGAATATTATACACAGGGATGTAAATTCAGAAGATAGCCACAGCGCCATCTCTATCACAGACATCAGCGTACAGAATTATATCAAAATTGGTAACGGAACTGACGTTGAAGTCGAGAGACGGACTGAGCAATCGAAAGAGCCTGAACCAAAACTCGAGAAATGGGAACAAAATTGTCCAACCATATCGCTTGGACTTGATCAGAAAATTCCAGGAGAAATGCCGGCCATCAGACCCCTCCGGCCTCGCTTAATGAGTCGAAAGGAGAAAGTAATAGCCAAGAAGATTAATAAATCAAGAAACAAGGTTGAACTCAAAAAGGTAAAATCCATCCAAATTCAGGGCAGTGCGAAGAGAAAGAAATTCAAGATGCTCAAATCCAACAGCAGCGTCCTTATAAACCCTGATTCTCAGAAGTACAAGCCATTATTAGACGGACTGGTCTCCTCAGTGATCAGTGACCCTGAAGCGATCTTTGATAAAGAGTTCTTCAATGCTTGTAACCTCAGGAAAAATAGGAATAACGCTGATAACTTCTTCACTATCACTGATCGTACAGAGACCCATAAAGATTGAGAAAAGCTCAAATTTGTTTCAGGAAATTGCCTATTTGGCAAAAGCCAAACAATGCCTTGAGAAGATGCCTGATTCATGCATGACCAAGCCGTCGGAATTGCTGACGGTGTCGGTGGATGGGCATCATATGGAATAAGCTCCTCTGATTTCTCTACTGAACTTATGAAACGGTGAGAAAAGCTATGTAAGAGAATCCTTCTCATCCAAAAACTATCACAAAGTATCTCAAACTATGAGGAATCTGAAACCTCTACTGATGAAATGTTATCTCCGATTAAGAAGATCACTATGAAAACTAAATTTCATGCTAACTCGTTTACTTATAAAAAGGATGAAGAAGGCGAGCTTGACCTGGAACAAACAGAAGGGGTTTATGACCCTTACTTAGACGATAGCTCGCAGAAATATCTGCAACCTATCACACAAGAGAGGTCACTTTCCTTAGACCCTTTGTTAATAATGGAAGAAGCATTCTCTGAGATGTGAAGCTTTGGGTCTTCGACAATCTGACTTGCGACTCTTGAAAACAAAAAGTTAAAGATTGCAAATCTTGGAGACTCTGGAATGCTCGTTATTCGGTACATGCATTCTGAGAAGCAATCCAAGGTGATATTTTGTACAAATGACCAACAACATGAGTTCAATGCTCCTTATCAGCTTGCTAAGATCCCTAATAACATCCAAAATATCATCAACAAACGAAAATAATACAATTGATAAGCCCGAAGAGGCTGAAGACAAGGATATTTTCTTCCAAGATACACCCAGATCTTCCGACACCTATGAGCTTAACGTCAAATTTGGTGATATCATACTCTTAGGGACCGACGGTCTCTTCGACAACGTCTTCTTAGAAGACATCTTAGACACAGTAGACATGTACATGAGAAATCTGATCAAGAGCAAAGAGCGAAAGCTTAAAAAGGAATCTCAGACAGCCTTTTTCCGAGATGAAACAGAAAGAATCACCTTCAGCTCTGCTGAAGCACAAGTCTTGGCTTGGAAAATAGGTAAAGTTGCCAAGAATCGGTCAAACACGCTTGAAAAGATGACCCCATTCGAGAAGAAATACAACGAACACAGGGAATTTATCCAAGATACCCATGACACCATCTGGCATGGAGGCAAAACAGATGATATCGGAGTTGTGGCAGCTTTCCTGACTTAACTAAGTTCCTATTAACTCTCAACAATTTCAATAAGTTTCATTCCAACTGGGGTTTTGGGGTTTTGGGGTTTTGGGGTTTTGGGGTTTTGGGG